TGTTCCTCCCTCCTCCCTTGATCTCTCCCTGTTTTCCTCTGGCATGTTTCTCCTCTGCCATACACCTCTGCCATGGATTCAGTGCACTGTGGACTGAAACTTCCACAAACTGCGAGCCAAAGTAAACCTTTACTCTTTACAGTTGTGGATGTTGGGTGTCATGTTGCTGTGAAGAGAAAGTAACTAAGACAGGCAGTTTTAACAGAAGTTCTACATTCAACAGGGTATGGAGGGTCAAATAATGCCTAATTATTTCATGTCATCATTAATATGTATGAGACATCAAGCCCTAGGCATCAAGAATGCCACAAAACCTTTTGTAACTTGCTGTCTTTAGTTTCTTACAGGCAACTGGTATAATAATCTTGGTTTTAAAGTCAGCCTGAATTCAAATTACAGATCTGTCACTGACTAGTAGTTTGAATTTGAGCAAGTCATTTAACATCTCTGAGCCTCTGTTACTTCATTAGTAAGATGAGGATTATAATAGTTACTACCTCAAAGCAGTTCTACAATATAGAGCACTTAACACAATACCTAGCTTAGTGTGTATGGTATGCTCCTTTTCTTTTTCATCAAGCCTCCCCCCTCTTTTCCTCCTACTTCCTTCTTTTCTTCATGTAGACCATTCTGTGGTGCATTTAAAAATGTATGTGATACTGCTGATGGGAAAATAAATTGAAAGAGTGGTTGGTAACCTCCATTGAAGCTGAATTTAAATTCTGTGATTCAGAAATTCCACTGTAGGTCTATACCTAACAGTGATACTTAGAGAAAATATTTTACAAGAAAATACATAGTGAGACTATTAAAATTTGCTGTAAACTGGATATAGCTTAAATGTTCATCATTAAAATGAATAACTAAAAAGTACATTGGTAGTGGTAAACTCATGCATTGTAAAACGACATGATATGATCATAGATGTCCTACAAGTATATATAGCAATATCACAGAATATCCAAAACAATACTGAGTCAAATGTTGTCAGAGGCAAAACGGCTTGTATCATAATATTCTATTTATTAAAATTCAAAAAATATAGTATTTACATTTAATATAGGGGTTAAACTTTGGGAGGCAATGAAGGGTCTTCTAGAATTCTGATAGTGTTTTTTCTTGAACTTGTCTGTTGCTCAAGAGGATTACATTTTGGAAAATTTATTAAGTTGTACACTTATGATTGTACACTTGTATGCATTTCAGACCCCAGTGTAAAGTTAAATATTTCAAAGAAAGGCTTCATTGTATGCTCCAGCCAATGTAAAATCAATTATGAAATTTAACAAATTCAATTTTCTTACATAGAAAGCACAAGTATGAAATTTCTGATCAGAAACAAACAAACCTATGTGATTAGTTTTTTTCCCCCGGAACTAGGGGTGAAAGCCCATGCCTTGCATATTTAAGGCAAGCATTCTACCACAGAACTACTCCCCACCCGTGACTTCTTTCTTGAATAAGTGCAGCTTTTTAGAAATGAAAGAAAAATTCCAGAAATAATTCATTAATATTATGACTGAGTAGAATATAGCAATTTAATGAAGTTGATAGTGTCTGATACTAAAACTGTAAAAACATAATTCACATATACACATTTACTATTATCAGGATTTTAAAAACATATTACAGTATTTATTTTTTAATGTACACTAGTGGCATTCATTCAGACATTCAGCTGGTGAATTTAAAGGAGTTCTTGTGAGAGGCAATAAAAAACAATGTGTTTGCTCAAGAAGGCATTGGGTTTAGTGAGAGTGTTCAAATGCCTTCTCATTTGACAAATTCTCCACAAATATTTACAAGTAAAGGTTTAGATAATGTATCCTTTAGTCACTAAAAAGATTGAAGGTACTTGTATAGTTAATAATGTAAATGTAGAAAAGCTGTGGGATGTAACAATTGGACCATTTTTTAACTGTCTCCTCAATAAAATCATAGTAATAAGCTGATTTTTAGTTGCTGATGACTTATTCTTAAATAAATCTCTAAATCACTGAAAGTGCATTTGTTTTTAAAAGAATTCTAATTAGATTTATGGTTCAGTGTTTGTCAGGGAAGTAGGGGCCTAAAGTTAAAAATCTAGCATTGTACAACTCAGTGAATGGTGTCACTAATTATAATTTCAAGATGTTTTTGCACAATTAAAGTACAGCTTATCATGTGTTATTATCAAGTTAACCATCACTTTATTATAGACTATCAGACAGTAGGTCAGGCCTGTACTGAAAGACCCATAAATGACCATGCTTTCTCTCTCCAGGCTTATTTCTTGTAATTCTAAAAATTAGAAGACTGTTCTCATCATATGCTACACCAACTCATTCATATTCTTGTGACTGAGTTTATGTGATTCTTTAGCTCACTAAACTTCTATACTTCTTTCAGTTTCCAAACAAAAAATCACCAACCAATTTGCTCTTTAATTAAAAAATCAGACCCAAAAAGCAGAAAACTGGCTGGTATTACATGATCTCTGGGAGGTGAATTCTAGATCTTTTGTCCTTTCTTTTGACAGTAAAGTCATTACATAGTGAGATTCAAATGTTCTCATTGTGTTTACTTAGTGCCTGTTGTGTATAAGGTTCTGAGACAGGTTCTTGGAATACAAAAAGTATTAAAAAAATCTAACTGGGTTCCTCAATAAATAGAAAATAGAACTGTAATACTATCCAGCTATCCCACCACTAGGAATATATCCAAAGGAAAAGCAACTAGTATGTCAAAGAGACATTTGTACTCCTGTCTTTATTACTGCACTACTCATGATTGCCAAGAAATGGAAGCAACATAAATGTGTACCATCTGATGAAGTGCCAAAGAAAATGTAGTACTTATACATCTTGGAGTATCATTCAACCAGAAAAAGAGTAAAATCCTGTCATTTGTGACAATGTGGCTGGAACTAGAGATTAATATAAGAAGTGATATAAATCAGATACAAAAAGAAAAATACTGTATTATTTTGAAACAGTTGACCTCATAAAATCTGAGAATAGAATAGTGGTTACTAGGGACAGTGAAGAGGATGGATTGATAACATTTGTGCTATGTTGTAACTAGATAAGAGTAAGAAATTCTGGAGCACTAGTGCACACTATGGTGACTATAGACAATAATTATATATTGTATATTTAAAAAGCTAGAAGAAGTTAATTTTTAAGATTTAACCACAAAGGATTAATATTTAGTGAGATAAGAATGTTTAACCTGATTTTAACGTTTAAATGTATATATGTTACACACATTATGTAATACCCTGTTAATATGTACAATTTCTATTTTTAAAAAAATCTTTAAAAATAGTCTTCTGCCTTCAAACAACTCACAGTCTAGAGGATTCTGAGAAAATAATTTCACTCACTGTAGAAAGAAAGAATGTAAGGTAACATAAGAATACAGAAGAGAAGAATTAAAACCGAGTCTGTTTTAACAAACTGTGGAAAGAAAAGACCTGGGAAGGGGACAGGTAAGCAGACTCTTAAAGGATGTGTAGTACTTAGCCAAATTAAGAGGAGAATGGGAATTTTCACAAGAAATAGCATGGGCAAAGGCACAGAGGGGGAGAAACAACATATACAGGACAGGAAACACAAGATAAAGAGTGATATGAGGAACAGCAAAAGATGATAAATGATAGGCAGTGGCCATGCCATGAAAAACCACGTGTGACAATGACAATGGGAATAATGCTTCATCAAACAAAAGCACATTCTCTAGAAGCCTTTTATGTTAAATATTATCCTCACGTTCTCTAGTCTCAACAGTAATTGAAGTTTTGCAACTGTATTATGGGCTGGGAAAATTGCTGGTTTTTTCCCTCTACCTACTACAAACTTGAGGTTTCCATCTTTACAGTCTCTCTCTCTCTCTCTCTCTCTCTCTCTCTTTCCTCTTTCTCTCTATTTTCTATCTGTTCCCTCAGTTACTAACTGTTTGAAGTGGTTCATGGTGGATTTCTGTCCTTTCTATGGGACCTTGATAGTTTAATAGTTATTACTGGATTTGTTTCTTAGCTTGTCCTTTTATAAAAATAGGTTTATAAATTCTTCACTTTCCCTTTCTTCCATGTGTAAAATGATGGGCTAATAGTTCCTTCACATGTTAATAGTTCTCTCTCTCCCTCTCCCTCTTCTTCTCCCTCCCTCTCCCTTCCTCTCTCTCTCTCTCTCTCTCTCTCTCTCTCTCTTTCTCTCTCTCTCTCTCTGTCTCACCCTGACCTCTCTTGCTCTCTCTCCCCTTTTCGTCCCTTCCTCCCTTCCTCTCTCTCTCCTTTCATTTTCCCTCTTCCCCCCACAGATCAGTCTGCATTGATATTCAAGACCTACTTAAATGAAACTTACTGATACTTTCTTCTCACAACCTTCCATAATTCCTTCATGAACTTTCTACCTGCCTAGATTCATGAAGGCATCATTATATTGCAAATGGAAAGTTCATGTCATTCAGTATGCAACAAAGGGACTATACATAAGATTTGGAATTTACTTCCCTGCTGATTCTTCTGTGTGCATGGATATATAATATTTGCATAGAATTACTACTGTCTCTTACTGCATAGATTGAATTTAAATGCTTTGAGTTTTTCAAGAGAATGTACTACATAGGTAAACAGCACTATAATGAATATTTCTTCCCTGGTCAAGTTGGAATTTTCTGTAGTTTACTTCCTAAGTCTGGACATTCTTGCAGAGTACAGTCCTTTGTTAGGGTTAGAATTTCCTGTAAACCTGCTCAATAATTTGTTTGTATTTGGCTTGTTTGAAATACTACACAAAGAAATCCTTGTAAAAGGCAAAACTGTCCTGAAGGCTGACAAAAAAGCCTGAGACATTCACTCAAAGTGAGTCTTTTCAGGCAGAGCCAGCTGAGTAATATTATCTCGGCTGGCTGTTATGCAAGGTACTCAATTCAGAGGCTTTCCTTCTGGGAGCAGAGTTTCTAATGAGGGGCAAACTTTGGGAAAGGGGCCTAGGGTGGTATGGTGTGTGTAGAGGAATCTTGGTGAGCAGAACGGACTCCCACACCAGGGGAGATCACTGTAACCTCAGAACCGAGATTACAGTGAGAGGCAAGGTGAGAAGGAAGTAGGAAATCCAGGAAAAGGACAAGATTTCTAAGGCACCTTAACAGCTCTGAGTCAAAGGCTGTCTGTCATCTGGGTTCTGGCTGCTCCACTCCTCCACAGCTCAGCCCTTTCCTGGGGCCAAGGCAGGGAATTGCTACATGCAGGATTACCTGGGGAAAAACCAGAGCCTCACTTTAGTCCCTTCCGGTAATTGACACGACTGGGCTCCGGGAGGGGGGAAGGGAGAACTTTCCTCCATAAATAGTTCCACCCCTAGGCAAGGTGGCTCACTCTGGCCGGTAACAACTGAGGAGTGTGCACCTGCCACCTGTCAAGCTCAGCCAGACTGTGAGGAGACACAAGGTGGAGCAAACAGAGAGTGTCAGTAAACCATGGACAAATTGAAGTGCCTGAGCTTCTTCAAGTGCAAGGGAAAGGAGGTAGGTGGACCAGCAGGTTGAGGACTGGGAGCTACTAGAGGAGTGGAGAGCCCAAGAAGAGGACGTTTAAGAGGGAGGGTTAATCTCTTTTTTTTTTGTTTCCTGGGGCTGCTCCCTGTTCAAATTTTGGCTTAACTATTTTCAAGTGTGTCTGAAATCACCTCATAAAGTAGAGAAAAAAGAGAACAGCTCTTATTTTAGGAACTAGGTGACCTAGGACCATCTCAGCCTTGCTTGGTGAGTACCCACAAAATCCTATTCTCTGTTCTTCTTTAGACTTTACCCATGTGCTGCAGGGAAACACTGTCCTTACCTTACCTGAGGAAACTTCCATTCCTGGAAGCAGCTAGCAGTTTGGGAGAGATCCCATCTCCTCCCACCTCCGGAATTGGAGTGAGAGCTGCTTCACCTGATGGAACAGAAAAATTTGCCATTATATTTGATTCTGTGGCTTTTAGAGAAGGATTTATTTTGCTCCAACATAGGAAGGCAGTGAAACTTCCCTTAATCTCAAACATTCAAAAGTCTCAGCACATAAGAAAATGACTGTATAATTATTTTTTTTTTACTCCACTGGAAGGTACATTTTATCCTTCATCTCAAAGATCATTTACAATCTAAAGCGTGTTGATTTTTCCTAATTCATCATTAAAACTTTTGTATTTGAAACTGATTTGTCCACTTTTGCTTTTCCTTAGTGTTGCTGCAACATTTAACCTTTTCTTTAACATTTGGTGGTCTCAGATGAAGAGACAGTAAAAATATTTACCAACAGAATTTTTTTTATTTCAAGAAAGAGTTATGTCTAAAAGCAGAAACATTCCCAACTTTAGGTTCTTTCCTCATGAATACAGTGTTTAGGCTTTGTTGTTTCTCCTCTTCTTTTTCTGTAAAATTTGCTTCTTTGGGGTTTGTGATAATAGAAAGACAATATGTTATTTTTTCTCCTCAGAAAGTGGCAAGTATATCTGAGAATTTACACGTTGACCAAAATGATGAGAATCAGGACCGTGGTAACTGGTCAAAAAAATCAGATTATCTCTTATCTATGGTCGGATATGCAGTGGGATTGGGAAATGTATGGAGATTCCCCTATCTGACCTACAGCAATGGTGGAGGTAACCTCTTGGCTTTTTTCTTTCTCCCCTAGTAATACTTGGGGTACCATATGATCTCTGAGGATATTTTGGGAGATAAGGAAAGGTAAACAGTACAAGAAGAGAAGCAAGGATATTACATTTATGAGTAGACTGTAAACTACTATCTCAATTAGGAATCTGGTTTCAAAGAATTCCCATGCATAAACTTCATAAAAGCTTTAGACTTAGTACTTCTCGACTTCTGATTGACACCCCATGAAATTTTCACCTAGGATTTTTGAAAATTATGCATATTCCTGTGATGATCTATTCAAACTCAAGTGATACTTTGTTTAATTAATTTATAGCTGAATCCAAGGGAAAAGCAGGTAAATGCAGTTCTGTTAAGAAATTCACATAAATTGCTTGATTTATTAGAATAGACATTACATTTTGGTATAGTTCAGTGTAGAAAGAAATAATTAAAATAATAAAATAAAATTATTAAAATAATTAAAAATTAATATTTTAAGTGATATATATCCAAAAGGAATTGACCACATAGAAGATCCCTCTAAAATACAATAGAGTTTATGTCAAGGCTAGGCTTTTTGTTCTTGCAAAATAATCCTGTTATACATTGTAGTCACTAAGGTAGGTTCTGTGAGAACAAGGGGAAAAATAACTGAGATGATTAACTAAGAGAACTAAAATGAATTACAAAATCCACAAGTAATGTTGTAATATTTCACTTGCAGGTATTTTATTTACTTGTCCTTAGAGAATGTAACTCATTCAGTAATGAGTGTAGTGTAAATATTAGCTTTTAAAGAACGTAGAAATCACAATCATTTCTGAGGTCAATGTCTAAAGATTCAGTTTGGAGAACAGCACCTAGACTTCCTTCAAATCATTTTTTCTAATATTTAGAATTCTTATTCCTTGAGAAAACAACCATTATTTCTGATAAATTTCTAGGGAAGATGTTAAATTATTTTTATTGAGAATTTAAAAATACATCTCAAATGAAACAGTATTGTTTGGTCTGTTCTTTTTTTTTTTTTTCCATTCATTTCCTCTGAAAGTTAATGTTAGATTGGTTGTCAGTTTTTAAGTGTCTCATCATTAGGTAATAGATAATAGAAGATCTAGATTTTTTAAATTGTGTCATTACTCAAGAAGAGGAACATAAAATTCAAATTTATTGACTGTGATTGGGTTTAAAAATATGATCAGGTTTGAAAAACGATTGATAAAATCTGGAAACAATTGTATTTATATATACTTTTTAGTAGTTTATGCAAAAGAAGTGTCAAACCATATTAATGTCAACACTGGCCACTAACCGTAATGTCATCATTGGCCACTAAATTGTATTAACTATTTGTCATTTATGGTTATTATTACTAATGAAATAAGGTTATTGATAATAAAATAATTTTGTGGAAACACCATTTTGAAGACACCTTCTAATTATGGGCTAATAAACCTTTATTTATAGTAACAGGTAGGGATATTTTGTGTTATTTTTCTTCATATTAATAGTATTTACACTCCTTTTAGTTATAGTAATGATGCTGTGCACATTGTAACATCTGTATATATATTTTTTTCTCTATGGGTCTAATCACTTCTTCTAAGGTTAGCATTCAAGCAAAGCCACTTAAATATGGAAATGTAACAAATCTATTTTAAGGGCTGGAAAACAGAATTCCTAGATGCAGTGATACAGTTCCATAATATGAAAAATACTTGAGGAAAACCTTAACATGAGTAAATAGCACATACATAATTCAAAACATGTTTTATCTACTAATTCACACATCACTTTTATTAACCATTACCAAGACTTCCAGAATATTAGATTAATGATTTTAAAATTCTTCCCTGTTTCAATTTTTTATCTGCTAAGGGTTTCAGTGAGCACTATTACCTAAGAGTGCACGTATACCTAAGAGTGCACAGAAAAGATGATTAATGATATAAGTTTAATTTAAAGGAAAGGGAACTGAATAAAGGGAGAGAAAGGGGAATTGATCCTTCTGAAATTGAGAGTTAACTATGAGCATGCCTACAAATTTCAGATTATTTCATCAAAACTATTACAAACTTACTCACACTGAGTAGTCTTGTAACTATTTGGAAATTAGTGAATGCAATTTCGATAACTTCTACTCTGTCTGTTTAGTATTTGGACCCTCAGTCTTAAAAATGGACCTCTATTTTTAAAGAAGGAGAAGAAATTAAGAATGAACATGTGCTAGTGTCTGGCAAGTTGCTAAGTGTTTTCATATAGGCCTAGTATTTGATCCTGTACCAGAAACTGATGAGTTTGTATTATTCTCCCCCTTTATGAGGAACATAATGTTCAAGAGTTAGGGAAATTACCTGAGGTCATATAACTAGCAAATAATAGAGCAGCATTTTAAACTAGGCCCTTCCAACTCCACAGATTGTGAACATTCACATCCTATATCTTACTTTTTAAGATGTTGCTTTTAATATTTGCAACAATCTCATTAGGTAATGATATCATCATCATTTCCCTAGATGAGAAATAGCCACTGTGTCACGGAAAATATGAATTTGAGAACCAATATTATTACGTTCTGACTTTACTGCAATCAGGAGACTTCAAAAATATCACACTTGTTGTAAAGAGTCCATCAATATTTTGAAATGTAATAGTATTTTTATTCTTTTTTGCCTTTTCTAGGTGCATTCTTGATACCATATACAACTATGCTGGCTTTGGCTGGTTTACCACTTTTTTTCCTAGAATGTTCTTTGGGGCAATTTTCAAGTCAGGGACCTATTTTTGTTTGGAGGATTTTGCCATTGTTTCAAGGTTAGTATTAAAATGTTATTATAATGTTCATTGCTTGAAGTCTTCACCACATAGTTAAGAAATGTTTACAATTCTAACATGTTTGATTGCATAGAAGCTAAAAACAGAATAACTGTTACCAGAGGATGGGGTAGTTTTATAGAAAGGTGAGGTGCTGGTCAAAGGATATAACGCTAAGCTATATAGGAGAAATAACTTCAAAATACTTATAATCTACAAGTTTATAAGCTCAAGAGTGAGAGTATGGTAACTATAGTTATGACAACATATTTTGCTCTTGAAAATAGGGGTATAAAGTGTTTTCAACAATTGAATGAGAGCTCTGTGTGCTAGCTTCTGCAGCACATATACTAAAATTGGGATGATAGGTCTGTGAGATAATGAATTTGTTAATCAGCTAAATTTACACATCCCAGAATGTATTTATACTTCAAAACTCATGGTGTATGTGAAAATATATTATCTGTTAATTGAAAATAAAAATTAAAACAGTATTCTGACAATATTCTATTATAAGGCAATAGAGCTTGCTAATTGCTTCTCTTTATAATTTGACTCCATAGAATTTGAAAATAGGATATTAATTTTATTTGTTTAACCTGATTGAAGGTATGGAAAGGGTTAGGAAGGACACTAGAGATGTTTGTAAGAGTGTCATTATGTATTTTCTTAATTTCATATTTAAATTATTTTGACAGTTTGTTGTACATTAACTTCATTGGCTCTGATTCTCAAGAACTTTTATTTTATTGGTACTCTGGCTTTTTAAGTACTTCATATATAGTCTTTGTCTTTACACATCTTAAAAAATCTTCTTTCAGAAAAGTTGAAAATCAGATCACCATTTTTTCTTGTATGCTCTTAATAGACTAGGAAACAGCTAAAACTGAAAATAGCTCTGTTGTTAAACATCAAACTTCCATTCTCCAGTGATTAAATATCATTTTGGAATGTAATACCTGCTAAAAACTATTTGGAAAAATTTCAGTGTGACATAAAAATAAATTCCTAGTGAGGTGAATAGAACATTGTACTGCAAGATTGAGGAAGCTACCTAAAAGGCTAGCCTTAAGTTTAGGAATTATATTTAACATATAAAACTTCATTTTGAAACTAATGAATTAAATTTTGGATGTTTACATTCAGGTTGTTACTGAATTACTGAGTCATATTTATGTATGCTTGTGAAAATATTCTATTGTGGCATTTAAACATGTTAATTCAAAGGCTTTATTTTCTCCTTGCCAAAATGTTGATTTAGAGATAAAGATTGAAGTGTTCATCAGTGTCCCAGTAGATATAAGTTTTGACTTAAAAAATTCTCCAATGTGCCCTTTGTGATAAGAATTTTCAGACTTACTAAAAAAATTGATACAGGCTTTACATAAATTTGATTCCTTGAATCAGGTCATTTTCCTTGGAAATTTTATGTTTTCTAATTAACTGAACAATTGTCTTAGGAAATCAATTGTCAAAATAGTTTTTAAAATGGGAAGCAAGCTACTTGTAAAGTACCATTTCCTTCTACCCCTGATTTTCCTGCACAAAAACAAGAAAACAGTTTTTGAAATTGTTTTATCATTAAATAGATATTGTGAAAATTGAGATGGAATTATATAAAGAATTAGCATAACAAATTTCATTTGAGTATATTTTAATTGTTCTCTTTTCCAGGTGTGGGAATTACGATGGTTCTGATATCCATTTTTGTGGCAATATATTATAATGTCATAATTGCGTATAGTATTTTCTACTTATTTGCATCATTTCAAAGTCCTTTGCCATGGAAAACCTGTTCCCCTCCTTGGGCAGATAATAACTGTAGCAGATCACCTATAGGTAAACTTCATTGATTTACTTTTTAAAGTATTATCAACTCCATATCATTTTTTCCAGATAAGCTTAAAGCATTAAATAATCTTCTAACCAACTTTGGTGAAATTTTAAATAATTCATAGGTCATTACCTAAAGCGAAGTATAGCATATGTAACCTGAATTTTTGAGGGTAAAATCTTTTAGGCCTAAGTCTTGGCCAGGAGAGAAATACGACAAAGTGATAAAGAGAGAGAAATACTATCTATAATCACAGAATGGTGTATTTCAGGAAACAATGAATGCTGCCAATGTCAATATATTGACAAACTTTTGAGATACTGTAGCATGAATATTGTAGGATGTTACCAGGTTACATATCAAAGTGTAAAGTTTTAATACTTTTGAGAAATTTTAAAACATTGATTTGTCTATGTAGATTAGATATGTTAAGTCCACCTACAAAAAGTTCGTTAGAGTACCAAACCTCAAGTGAAATAGTGGTTATTATACAACCGTTATCATTATAAATACAATTACAGTTTAAAAGGACAGATCGCATTATACTCACTCTTACCTTTTAGTGGTTTAGAGATGAAGATTGAAGTATTGTTCAGTGTGGAGAATATTTAAGAACTGGATGAAAGTATCATATTATATTTGTGAATTATTTTTACTCTTCCTTCACAAAGTAACAATTTAGACAGTAGCTTAACAATTTTATCATTGAAACTTTATTCCAAGAAAGCAATCCTTTAAAACTAAATACATAACTGTTTCTATATTTCTTTTATTATTTTCAGTCATTCATTGTGATGAAAATATAGGAGCTGGAGAGAATATGAGCTGGATAGATGACAACAACTTTACATGTATCAATAACTCTGAATTTTACGCAGCAAGGCAACTTCCCAGTGAACAGTATTGGAAGTAAGTGATTCAGTTCTTAAACACATATTATTAAAAAGTATTTTTTATAAGTGGCAATGATATATTGGCCATTTCTTTCCTTAACTCACATAAATTGAAAAAATGGAACTTGTAGGGAATTATATTTCATTTGACTCAATTATTTATGTATCCTAGGTAAACAGCAATTATTTGAAAGACTAGGACTTTGTCAACAATGTGTTTTTTATAAAATGGTTGTTCAATGGACGCAAAACTGTAATGAGTTTTTCAGAACTTCCTATGTTAGGAGTTTGTTTATAAGAAAACATTTCAAGTATAGGAGAAAAATTTAATGATAAACAGTTGGATAATGGGTAATATCAGGGAGCAAAATTGTTAAGGCAATATTTTATCAATATCTACTTTGTACACTAATGCCATTTTATAGTAAGAATAGATATTCAAGGTTATATTTATGTTGTACTAATTTTAAATCGTCCTTCTTTATGCCAGCTCTTACCTTTACCTAATATCTTTGTGTCTAATACTGAATGAACTCTCCTTCATCTACATGTTAACCACTTCTATAACTTTTATAACATTTTCATTTATTTTAACTAATAATGTAAAACTTGTGCATATTAATGAATATATTATACAGTGTTTATATCAGGTTTAATACACTTATGTTTAATATACCTATATACTTAAACATTTATCATTTCTTTTTTGTGAAAAATTTCTAAAAATTCTTTCTTGTAGCTTTTGAAATGTACAATATATGTAGTTATTATAGTCATTCTACTGTGCTATTGCACAGTATTATTATATTTGTGAATTATTTTTACTCTGCCTTCACAAAGTAACAATTTAGACAGTAGCTTAAAAATTTTATCATTGAAACTTTATTCCAAGAAAGTAATCCTTTAAAACTAAATACATAACTGTTTCTATATTTCTTTTATTATTTTCAGTCATTCATTGTAATGAAAATATAGGAGCAGGATAGAATATGAGTATACCAGAACTTCTTAATCCAACCTAACTGTACCTCCTAATTAACCTTTCCCCATTCCCATCTTCCAGTTTTCCTGCTTCTGGTAATCATTGTTCTACTTTACACTTACATGAGATCACCTTTCTTAGAATCATGCAGTATTTTTTTTTTTTAATTTTGTGCCTGGCTTATTTGATTTCAAATAACACTCTCCAGTTCTGCCATGTTGTCACAGATGATACGATTTCATTCTTCATATGACAGGAAATGTTCATTATGTGTGATATTTTCTTTATTCATCAGTTGACAGACACTTAGGTTGTTGTCAATCTATGTCTCGGATATGGCAAATAGTGCTACAGAGAACATGGGAGTGCAAATTTCTCTTCGATGTACATATTTCATTTCTTTAAATGTATACCCAATAATTGGATGCTAGGTTATATGGTAGATATATTTTATAATTTTATGAGGAACTTCTATACTATATTCCATGATGTAAATTTAAAAGTTTTTGAAGATTGAAATGTTCCCATTCAGGTAAGAATTAAGATTATATGTCCATGTACATTGCTAGTGAAAAAGAGGGAGTTTTGTGGAAAGACTGAAAAATATGTAAATAATTGGTCCATTTGAGCCTGTTGATATACACAAGTAAAGGATAATTGTATAAAATTTAACATAATTTTAAATATTTTATTAAAACATAATTTAAATAACATAATTTTAAATATTTTACTCATTATTTTAATCTGAGAAAAGTAATGTATTGAGTCAAATGTAGCCATTAGATTTAAAGTTAACTTTTTTAGATAAAGGAGCTTAACATATTAGGGGATTATTAGCAATTTTGAAAATTTAGATTGGCTCTGGTTATCTTTGAGGTTCAGAGCTTGACTTTTTCGTCAAGTTTTTGTTCATTTATACAATAGCCTCTACTAATAAAGGACTCAAAGAATATTGATGTTAATATATAATAGTCATAGAGCTTCCCCTTGGATGAAACATATCACAGAATTTATTACTTTTTATACAAACAGTTCTGTATTCATAAAAGAGTTTATATGTTTCAGTAAAGTGGCACTTCAACGGTCAAATGGAATAGATGAGACTGGAGAAATTGTGTGGTATTTGGCACTCTGTCTTTTACTGGCTTGGATCATAGTTGGAGCAGCTTTAATTAAAGGCATCAAGTCTTCTGGGAAGGTAATTAGTAAAACACATTAGGTAGTGATATAACTGACTTCCACTTTCATCATAGTTTAATGCCAAGCATTATCAAATGCATGGTTTATCTATAATGATAATATTTCCAGATACTAAAAGCTTTCTAAGTAGGCATCTTAGTTTTAAGTAAATAGGATCACTGCTACCATTAGAAACAGAGCAAATAAACAAAAATTAATTCTGAATTTGTTTGTTACTCAAAATTCAGATGCTTATGATTGATTCAGCATATTGAGCCTTGAAGATACATTTTTAAACTCTCTGACCCACTACTGGAAAGTCTACACTGATGTTGTATAAAGTAACAGTACCAGGATTTCCTTTGCTGGAGAGAGTGAAAATCCTATGCGATTATTCTCTTAAAGTTTTCCAAAATTGACTCAATATATGCTCTCTCACCGAACCTGCTATTCTGAAAAATATTGTATTTTGTTTATTAATTGTTTTAATATTACACTTTCAGAGAACATAATGACAAATTTAGAAAACATGAAATTTTCTCTTTGAGAAGTTTCACAGTATAAGAAGAGTAAATTTTTATGTGTCTTGTTTGTTTGCTCGTTGTTTTTAAGACAGGGTCTAACTAAATATTTCAGGCAAGCCTTGAACTCACTATGCAACCCAGGCTGACCTCAAACTTTCAGTAATGCTCCTACCTCAGCTTCTCAAGAGCTAGGGTTTCTGGATTGTGTGTATGTGTTTTTAACTACTAGTGTAAATTTATCTGAAAGGTGGAAGACAAAAATCCTGGGGATATTAACTTTGTGTTTCTAGAATATTATTAACGTTAAGATGTAATAAAATGTGCTATTATATCACCAAAATAATTTGAGCATCGCAAATCCTGTAGAAACTTCCCAACATGTTCCAGTTGCACATTTTTGAAAGCTTTTTGGCTCCTTTTTGATGTTAATATTGAAAGAATCCACCGAAGGCCATTTATGTAGGCAATTATTTTTTATTGGTCTCTGAACAACTTGTTTAAATTACCTCCCTGGGGATATTATCAAACTCAGGACAGCTATGAATCAAAAAACTATCCATATTAATGAAAAACCAGCCTGAAAGGCAATCTGTTCACCTGGAACTTAGTGTTTTCAGAAGTATCACACTAGAGTATGTGCTGTCAAACGCTCATAATGGGGGCTTTAAATAACAAGTATTCAGTATTCAGTTTAATAAAGCTTTCATGGGATTGGGGTATATACTAGGAGATATTTTCCTTTTTTTGGAGATTTAAGATGTGTTAAGCGTTGCAGGTTTTTAAATAATTTTCCTTCATACTTTGATATAATAGTAAACTGAAAGACCTTCCATTAGGTTCAGTCAGACATCTATAAGGCTATTTTTTTTTTTTTGTCTTTGTGAGACATGGTTTCATTATGCAGTTCAGGTTGGTCTTGAATTTCACTTTGTAGCCCAGACTAGTCTCTAGCTCACAGTGATCCTTTTGCCTCAGCCTCCTGAGTGCTGGGATTACAGGTATGCACCACCACGCCCAGCTATAAGACTATATTTAAGGAAACATTTTATCTAGATACAAAGTTATCACTGCTGGCATATTGTTTATTTACAATATGAACCCAGGAAATATTCCTGAATGCATCCAACTGATTTTGGAAATGGATCATTTATGAGTAGTGAGAACAAAAATATGAAATTGCACCAACTTTGGTGTGGATATCAGCAGACTTATTAATAGCATTATGAAATCTCCAGTACTTTAACTATCTGAACTGGCTAAAATATTTGTCTACAAGTATATACCATGATTTAGAAAAACACTAATTTTTGATGTTTTTCTTCACAGGTGGTATATTTTACGGCCCTTTTTCCCTATGTGGTTTTAATCATTCTTTTGATACGTGGTGCAACTCTGGAAGGAGCCTCGAAAGGAATTGCATATTACATTGGAGGGAACTCAAACTTTAGTAAACTTCAGGAAGCTGAAGTAAGACTTTACTTTGGTTTAAAATTATCTGAGGAGATATGCCTTATAATCAAATGCCACAGCTCTTTGTTTTAATCTGAGTATCAGGATACAGTAGTTGGCAAAAAGATCAAGCAGTTAAATTCATTAGAGTTTCTGTCCACTAGGATGTCTAATTACCTGTATAACATGACACTGATGCTTTCCTACTGGAGGTAAGATCATTTTTCACAAAGGGATTTCAGAAGTCCTTTATTTATATATCTGTTTTATTTTGATGAGCAGGATTTGGATTATATTGTTTTGAGAAAGAATACTGTATAAATACCTACACCTTTTTGGTTAGGACTATGTGATTTATTGAATAAACTCATAGTAGCTATAAAATTGTTGTTCAAAGTTTAATAATCTATTTTTAATTATCTTCAAAAGTCAGTATACCAAAAGTCAATTTGACCTAATGGATTCTAAAGTCAAAACACAAACATGGATTAAATATTCCATAAGGAAAACTATTTCTTATACTAGCAAAATAAACAAGAACTATTAATATGAACTGGATAGCTCTCTTGTAAATTTAGCCTATTTCCAGATAATTCCTGTGTGTTTTAAGAACGTACAATCTTCTAAAAACTTTTTTAGCAGATTAACAACAGGTGTACCCAGATGCTATTCTTGTATTGATATGGCCTAAGTATATTTTACATTTATAGTAGTCAGTGAAATCACATTTTTGGCACATGTAAATCATCTAGTCAGTTAAAAACTTACAATATTATATTAAAGTCAAGAAAAACTATGCTAATACTTACTTCCATATTAGTAATGGTAACCAAAATGATATTAATTTCAGTTTGTTATGGTATTCTTTGTGGAAATTATAATAATTTCCAGCCATTGATATTTTCTTTTCTAAATATAGTCAGATATCTTGAATATTTGTTGTAGAATCTTTTTGGTGTTTGATGTCAAATTTATCAGCTTTACTCACAGGAATTTGATGTTAACATTTTTTTGAAAACTGAAATGTCTATTTCTGGTTATTGTTTTCTTTAATTGTGCTCAAAAGCTTTTAAACATGATTATTCGTGATAAGGCTAAATTATTTAGAATCATAACCTGCTGTTATTGTCTTGTGATTAATGCTCTGATGTGTTCCTGGCCATTTTAGTACATTTCCTTATTTGTTTTGGGCCTCACTTGTGTTAAGTTTGTTAGTTTTTCTCAAGTCAAACATTACTTCTAGTGGTAAGTAACAGATAAATTATAAGTTGAGATTCTGTGAGGTTATTGAATAAAATAAAATAGATTCATGTACTTTGGAAATGTTAACTTCATATAAACTAGACCTAATACATAATTACTTTAAATACTGTCATTTTACTAACATAGTTACATTTTCTCTAAGAAATAGTCCCACCATTTTCTTTTAACTTAGTTATTTTGAACACAGTTGAAAAATCCGTTAGTCTTCTTCCCTTTTGCAAAAGGATTACAACCATTGTCAAATTCTTATCATTTTGTTTTAAAAACATATTGTTATTATATTGGGATTGTTGTTGTTTGTCTCTTTTGCTTTTTGAGTTTCTTCTCTCTGTGTGTGCTCTCTTTTTTGGTACAGAGGAGCAAAGACATGACCTTGCATTTGCCAAGCAGGCACTTATGTCACTGAACTAAATCCCTGGTCCTCTTTTTTCTTAAAAAAATAGGGCTGTGGAGAAATAGAAAGAGGAGACAGGGATGAATAAAAAGTTAAGATGTATTGTGTGTACATATCAACTCCTCACAAAAAGTATAATCATTCTGTACTTTAAACATGTACCAATAAAAATAAGAATTAAAGAAAAATATAAGCCCTTTGATATTCTTTAAATAACTATTACAAGCCTCAGACCTCTGGACTTTGTATTTTCTTAAAAATGTCTTGAGAAATACATGTCTATTTTATAGAGCTTTACGTTTTAGTTCCTCAATTAAGAATACCATAGCTCCATACAACTCAACAATTAAAATTGCATCCAGATAAAATTTGAAATTTAATCCTGCCACCCATTCATGTCCATTATACCACCCCACTCTGTCTTTTGGGTTTTCTGGTAATTAGAGTTGTTTTTCTTAGATCTTTTTTATTCTTCCTATTTTAAATGTGAAATCACAAGTGCATGTTTTTCCTTTTCTTTGACTATTGGTTGTCTATTGAGGTCTTCAGGAAAGTAAAGAACCATGCAAATTTATAGTTACAGTAGTCTTCTGAGGTTATTTTACTAATGTTTTCATTTAATAGTGAAACTGATGAAACTGGGACACTGAAAGTTTCAAAGGTAAACAAGTGTACGCAGCCAACTAGTGCAAGTAGAATTAAAATTTCCTAAATCTTAATCTAATAATCTTATGCATAGGTATAAAATTGATAGCTAAAGAGATTAACATTGTGTTTGAAACTGTGGTCAATGCTTTTTGGAAAACTGTGTAGTAAGATTTGTATGCAATCCAAAACTGCCAGACGGAACTCCAGCTCCCATTGAGTCACATATGCATGCATAAGACATTAAGTAAAGGAGGCTGAGAGAACAACATATCCATGGTATTCATCTCTTAATACAGGCAACAATCTAAGAAATAAGGTGATACTGTATTTCTAACATACATTTTTTATACATAAACAAAATAACCTTAATTTATGAATTAGGTATGGATGTATCTATATATACATGTATCTATCTACCCTTTCATCCAATTTGCTTCATACTGGCCTCCTGCAGCCTAAATTCAAACTGTATTGTGAAGACCTGCCGTATGCTTGGTCCTTAGCAACTTTGTTTCTATGGAAGTAATATTCAAATCTTTGTTTTTAACTTTAATGTTAGAAATGGATCATCAATTGATGTTTACTTCCCATAATAACAATAATAGCCATTTTTAAGTATCTTGCAAATTTCAATTCTCATTTCTTTATACATCATTTTTTGGACATTATTATTATTATTAGTAGTAGTAGTATTAAATTTTATTGGTGTTATAATTCATTTTTATTGGTGCATGTTTGATTATTGTTGTCAGTTTCTATCTTATGGAGAACATATACATAGGAATATATACTATAAAAAATGAAAACCTAAGTGGAGAACCAAAATTAAAGATAACAGATATATCCAAAAGAAAGGAAGCAAGAGATGCCTGATATTAACTTCATTTTTTTTTTACTCCAGAGCTAGAACTCATAGTCACCCTGATGTTTTATTGTCTGTTTTACACTGATAAATCCAATTTATGAAGCATTGAAATGACACCTTTTCCCTGTAATTTAACTGTCCTTTTTATTTGAAACTTGAACAATTAATTTTTTTCTTTCAGAAAATTGTATATGCTTCATTCTTAAAAATGGATTGAATTAAGTTGGTTTGTGAGAATAATTATTGACCTTTAACATAAACATTGGAGAAGTAAATTATGAAAGAGGAATAATAAAAACATGGAATTACGTTAAGGATGTGAAGGGGTATCTTCTATATTATTCTTGCTAAATGTTGTTAGTGTTTTTTGTTAACCCCATATTGATATGAAGAATGAAGAAAACTCCAATTAAATTCCTAGTACGTAAAAACTATGGAGGAGTTATTTTTCCAGATATTAAATAATATTGTAATGTTATAGTGGTATTAGCATAGGTATAAACATATAGGTCAGTGAACAGAATAGTAATCTCAGTACTAGGTTCTAGAGCAAATGGAAATTTATATGTGGCAAATGTGGAGAAAACACAACTGAACTGAATTATTCAGTTGATATAATAACATAAATTGGCAATCCAAATATTAATATGCACAATATCGATTTAAAATGAAGTTTAAACACAATAAGCAATTTTTTTTTCTTTTAGAAGAAAATGTAGAATAATGCCTTTACAACCTTTGTCTAAGTATTTTCTAAGTAACACGGATCACATATATAAGTGAAGAAATAAAACTTCAGCTATATTATATCAAAAATAAAATCTTTGATTCATTAAAGGACACAATGCAAAAAAGTGAAAAACAAACACAAATTGGAGGAAAACAGCACCAGATAAAACAGACAAACAATTATAGCTTAAATGCATGAATAATTATTGAAGTCAGTGCAAATAACTCAAAAAATTGCAAAATATATGAACAGGAATTCCACAGGGAATATTCCTATGGAAAATGACAGTATTCAAATCTCATTTCACAGCCACTTGATTGGGTCAAATTAAAATTCTAAGTCATAATGAGGATATAGATAAAGGGAAAGTCTCATAACCATAAATTGGGAGTACAAAGTGGTACAATCAGTTTGGAGAACAAGTTGGAAAGATTCAGCAAAGAGAGGATGCCTATAAACTTCGACATCACACTTCCCCATCTACATGATAAAGAGACATGTACAGAATGTTCAAAGATACATAACAAAGTACTAAGCAGTCTAATACCTATTATTAGGGGAAAGACTAAACTGTAGTGAATATACAGCGGGACACTATAAAAGTGGAAAAATGATTAAAACTACACATGTTAATTTAACCATATGAATTTGCCTATTGTTTTAGTTTTTAATTAAATTGAAGTTTTACATGGCTTAACTAGCTAATGAGTAAATCTCATAATAGTGAATGGAAAAGCATGTTGTATAACTTTACATGCAATGAAATAACTTTTCTATAAATTCAAAAATACGCCAAACTAAGTATAAAAAATAAGGGAAAAGTAAACACAAAAATTGAAATTAGAGCTACCCCTGGAGGATAGAAGGGTAATATAATTAGGAGGAGGAATGGAAGGCTTTAAAAGACTGGTTTATTTCTTAAGCTGGGTAGTGGGCAATTAGTTCTTCATTGTTTTATAATATATATTCATAATTATATGTTAATATTTTATAAAAATAAACTAACAATATATTGTTTTAAAATCTTAATTTTCTCTTACAGGTTTGGAAGGATGCTGCTACTCAAATATTTTATTCCCTCTCAGTGGCATGGGGAGGCTTAGTAGCACTGTCATCATATAATAAGTTTCATAACAACTGCTTCTCAGATGCGATTGTAATATGCATAACAAACTGTCTCACCAGCGTGTTTGCTGGCTTTGCTATTTTTTCTATATTGGGACATATGGCACATGTATCCGGGCAGGAAGTCTCTCAGGTTGTAAAATCAGGTATCTAGCACTATATTTTCTCAACTTGCATTAATTCAATGTAGCTCACTTATAAAACTCTCGTGTAGTTTGTAGCAATTTATACTCATGACTTAAGAGATATTTTTCATTTCACTTCATCTTACATAATTTATTTTAATAATATTATTATTCTTATAATTATTTTTAGATGTTCTTGGCAAGCAAGTGTATATTGGAGAATAATTGGTTAGCAAGCCAAATTTTTTTAAAATTTTGTTTGATTTTTAATATGTGCTTCCTATGACATAATAACAAGTTCTGGCATTATGCTATGCACATCATGAATTATGAGAGAGATAATATATACAGTATACAATTTCTCTTATGTACTATTCCAGCATTAGATATGAATTTTATTTATTTACATTATTTATTGATTTTTTATTACTAACATGTTTGCAGTCATATAGAAAGAACACAAAATATGGATCTGGATCTTGAAATATATTAAAATCACACATGACACTGACTGTGTTCTGATTTCAAGGAATCTCATAAATAAACTTCCTAACTTTAATACTGTGTCTTGAAGGACATATTTGAATCATTTGTAGAAAAATGGATGCACTTCAAAATCATAATGTTAAGTGAAATAAATCAGACCCACACGTTTAAGTATCTCAATATTTCTCTTATATGAGATACCCAAAATAGAGTAAAATAAAAGACAGATAATAAGAAATAGGGAGATTGATGTTTTCCAAAAGGGAAGGGGACCAAGAGATGGAGGCATAGGGTAGGCATGAGAGGGAAAACTAATTGAGTGTTGTGTACATGTAGCAACATCCCACAATAAGCGTAATTGTTATAAACAACAAACATGTACTAATAAAAATAAATATTGAACAAAAAAGTAAAGGAAAAGCACATTAAAGATGTTGAATTATTTGGCTAAAAATTCCCATGAAAAGAATCATAAGATTCTTTAAATAGAAATTCCTTAAGCAAATTTTATTATAGCTAGTATTGTTTGATGGAAGTAATGATGAATGCTAATGGAATGTCAAGACTAGGAGGAATCTTGGAGATATTCTAATTTCCAATTCCTCATAGTACTTTGATGCACATAAATATTACCTATGTCTTTCATAAGCTCAAATATTTAAGTGTTAGAGTTTAGATTAGAAGCTTAGTTTTATAAATCTTAGGTTAGGTCTCTGGAAAGTTACAAAAATGAAATACTTGAAACTGAAGAACATATAAAAACTAGAACATAAAAAAGATCCCTAATGGTTACAGCAAATAAAAAAGAAGGTTAAATTTATAGTTTTATTGTGTAAAATTTTGCAGGCATCCATAAACTGCTAAAATGACACTAGTGATTCTATGTAAACATTTGAAAAGAAAGATGAAGACTAAGAAGTTACTTAGATGTGTATATCTTTTCAGATATTCTAATTCTTGTAGAACTTTTAGCCTAAGATCAAGTGACCTAATTTAGGTTTTTAGTGTTTAAGAGAGTCATTGTTCTTCACCAATCCTGAAAAAACAAAATTGGTTACACACCATTAAAATAGTTGAATTTCTTATGTGAGAAATGTTCCACATGTAAAATTTATCTCACTAGCTTAATTTATGTCATATGTTTATATTATCATATCATAATACAACAAAGATAAATATTTTAAGAAGAAAAAGGGAGACAGTTGGTAAAGATTGTATGTCACAGATTACACTGCAAGAAAGATAACATGTTTCTATTATTTTAATTTTCAAAATGATAAACTTGAATAATTTGTATGAAAATGGGTGTACCTCAAGAAAATAATACTAAGGAAGTAAACCAGAAGCATAAGCTTAAATATTGCATGGACTCTCTTATAGGAGAAACCCAAAATATAAGCAAATTAAATAGAAAAGTAAAAGACAGATAATAGGAAACAGGCAGACAGACCTTTTGTAGAAGGGAAGGGAGAACCAAGCGATGGAGAGAGGAAAGAGTGGAGGGAGATGATATGAAAAATAAATTAAACTGTGTTATGCACATGTACAACTCCCCATGATTAATGTAATCATTATGTGCAGAAAATGTGCTAATAAAAGTGTTAAAAATATAATTATGCAAATAAAAGTTGTGAAATTTCTTGGCAAGTAACTTAAAATGCTGTATATTTTCTTAGGTTTTGATTTGGCTTTCATTGCCTATCCAGAAGCTCTAGCTCAAATCCCAGGAGGTCCATTTTGGTCCGTATTATTTTTCTTAATGCTTTTAACTTTGGGTCTTGATTCACAGTTTGCTGCCATTGGTAAGTAATATATACTTTCAGTGTTAACAAAACCTTCAGATCATGGTTTCTTGAAAACCCTTTTGTTACTGCTATCACTTCCTATAGCTGTTATTCGCAGAATCCTTCTGAATTTTTAATTTAAAAAGAAATATTTTTACATTTGTTTCATATATATTTAGAAAATTAATTGTAATAGGTGAATTTGAAATCTCTTTAGTCACCTATATTTCTTTCACTAATGTAATTCATATTTTTTTCCTAGAGTCAATCATTAATCATGGATTATGTTTTATTCAGTACATGTTTGTAGACATTGTTTTTATACTCATGAATAATATAAAATTTGAATATTTCATTTTTAAGTGAATATGAAATGTGACATTACATAGCATACACATTACTTTGACAGTTATTTTATTTGCATTGTGGATTGATGTTATGCATAAACATGTAAATCAATATACACCACTTGGTACCATATTGATGGGTATTTGGGATCCTTTTTTGTTAATTATACATATTGCTGGAATGACTGTCTAATTCATGACTCTATTTATATATATTTATACAGTTTTCTCTAAGACACAAAACTAGAAAAGTCTAAAATAATTTCCATCATATTATTGATACATTAAAAATTGCCATGGTTTATTCTGTTTATATGATGAAGTCCACATTCTTCTGATTGGCTTTCAAAGTCCTTAGAAAATCACAAACATATTTCTTAATACTTTCACTTATAAGTCTTTTTACTCTTAGGCTGTTCCCTAGTTAACAGAAACATTTCTTAAACATAGAATGTCTTCTATCTCTATGTTATTTATTTTGTTTTGTCATTTGGTTATTTTCTATATGGCTCTGATTAAAATAGTTGCTTAATATAAGTCCTATGAGAATCTTCCTTCCCATTAACTCTTTTGGAAAACTACTTCAGCCACTGATTACCTTATAGTTACAATTAGTATGAAGCTTTATAAAGGGGACTTAAATCAACAAATAGAGCTGCTTTGACTTTTTAGCAAAATCAACAAGTGGTCACTGCTAAGAGAAAGAACTCTAAGCATTGTTTTAAATCAGTATATTTTCTGTATATATTTGTAATGCAAGTTGAAATTATTTGTAATTTGTAATAGAAGTTGAAAGTTGAATTGCATGATTAACTTTATTGATGTGATAATAAAGTGCCACTTATTTCTTCTGAAGAAACAATTACAACAACAATTCAAGACTTATTTCCAAAAGCCATGAAGAAAATGAGAATTATAATAACTTCAGGTTGCTGTTTGGTTTTATTTCTCCTTGGTCTCATCTGTGTGACTCAGGTATGTTGCAACTTTTTATTTTCATAAAGAATGTTAGAAAAATACTTCAGAATCTAAAAGAAAAAAAGGCTGTTTAATGAAAAGTCCATGTTCTAGATGAATTAAGGTTTTCCAGGTTTTAACTTTCTCTCATTGTAACTTTTTTAGTAAGTATGTTTTGTAGAAGAAGATGTGCAGTAATAACTATCTCCCCAAATACAATATGATTATAGTCTTTAATCATGTAGGTTTCTTGGAAGCTACTACAAAACCTATAGACATGGAAAACCCTTCTGATAACCAACTTTTCTAAATTTTTCTCTAGAGTGTAAAGTATTTGATACTTAAAATACTTTTTCATATTTTAACAGAACCGAAACTAGGGAGAATGTGTTAAATTCAAATTATTTATTTGAATACATCATCAAATGTAAAATTAATTAAAATATTTTTAGAAATAATCAACATTTTGTTGTTGTTGTTGTTGTTGTTGTTGTTAGGCCGGAATATACTGGGTACATCTAATTGACCACTTTTGTGCCGGATGGGGTATTTTGATCGCTGCTATTCTGGAAATAATAGGAATCATCTGGATTTATGGTAAATGGTGATTAGAGAATGATTAAAAGTTTTATTAAAATTGTTTAGTTTTATTACTTTCTTTCTTTACATAATTGCATTATCAGTAATTACATTATTATCATGTGCAAGTATATATTTGCAGGAATATTGTGAAGAAAATTAAGTGTAGGTTATGATTTATTCTGGGTAACAATGTGTTTAGATATAGAAAGATAATTTGAGTGAAAATAATTATTTCAGGAAACCATGAACATTACTGTTTCTATTGTTTTCTTTAGGAGGGAACAAATTCATCAAAGATATAGAAATGATGATTGGAGCAAAGAACTGGATATTCTGGTTATGGTGGAGAGTTTGCTGGTTTGCGATTACACCTGTCCTGTTGACTGTAAGTTAATAATGCATCATTAGTTTACAGACAATAATGTTTTCATTTAAATGCTTCTAAAATAAATTTGGAGAATAATTAACATTAGAAAAAATAAGAAAAAGTAATGTAAAGGAATGATTTTCAAGTTTTGCAGCATTTATGGTTAATGCTTTCATAGTACCTAAATTTAGCCTTTGCATTATTATTTTTTAGGTGATAGGTTTAAACATTTAGCCAATGAAGCATGTATAGTTCTTAAAACCTCAAAAAGTAGCAAATGAGTTAAAGTTTATCAATAGGTTAAATAAAAAGAAATGATGTATCTGTTCATTCTCTAAAAGATATACTGAGTTGCCAATGATTTTCTTAATTGGTCTTCTATTCCCAGAAAATACTAAGACACATAAAACCTAGATGACACCTTTAAAGAGTACATTTTAAATATTCTCATTGCTAAGAGACAGCATATTTTTTCAGTTTATCAAGGATGTATTTAGTTTCTGAAATTACAATGAGAAACTCACAGGTGTCAATAGATTGTATAATGACATCAAGTATTCAGATAACAGTTTAAAAAGGAACTAGTTTAATCCCAAAACAAATACTTCATGGAATGGAAAATTGCTATGAACTAGAATTAATAGTGAGGCTGGGATAGTAACAAAGTTTCATAAATATGTTTTGATCTCATTGCTTTCATATTTCAAATCTTTTCCTAGAAGAGACCATTAAGTAATTCAATTGCTTTTGATTGCTTTTATTAGATGTTAAGTTTTATGTATGTTTTTAGAGTTATGAGATCTGTGTTAAGTAATGAGTAGTTTGGGCCTGGATGTGATGAATTAAAATACTCATATTTTCCATATTACTCAGTATCTTCGATAGTGTCTCCAAATGTCATGTCATTTTCCTCATTGGACAAATATATATAACAAGTCCCTTAGTCAACCTACAGGATCCCACTAGGCTTTCTTTCTTTCTTTCTTTCTTTTCTTTTCTTTTCTTTCTTTTTCTTCTTTCTTTCTTTCTTTCTTTCTTTCTTTCTTTCTTTCTTTCTTTTTCTTTATACAAGATCTTACTCTGTAGAACAGTCTGGGCTTGAATACACTTAAGTGGCCAAGTCTAGCCTTGAACTCACAGGGATCCTCTTGCCTCAGCCTCCCAAGTGCTGGGATTGCAGGCATGTACCACCATTTCTGTCCACTGGGCTTCTTAAACAGCTAGTTTTTCATTGATTTCATAGTTCTCACAATTGGGTTTACTTTAAATGCAAAAGTATTAAACATTAATTATATATATATATATATATATATATATATATATATTGCCGACTACCTTATATAAAATTACTTATAATAGACTCCACTTTCCCTCATTCATTTTCTTACTATTATATACAATTGTGATAACTGTGAAATATATTTAAATTATATGTAAATTAATTTATGGATTTAATCCATTCAGATCTAAAATTGTACTTCAATATCTATTTATAAAGATTATTAGAATCCTTTTTTCTCTTTCTTTTTTTAGTTTTTGTTTTTGTGTTTGCTAAACGATAGTGTCTAAATTTAGAGAAATTACTAGAGGATTTTTGAGTTTTATTTTGTTTTGCAGATTTTAAAGTAGTTTTAGTGCCTCATTATGCTTATTAGGTTTTTAAAAACATTTTTAATTTTAAAGAGCATAAAACCAACCAAATAAAACTGAATAAAGACAATCCAAACAAAACATTGAAAGTGATGCAAGACTTCAGCACAAGATAATAGGAAATCAACAATGGCTACCATAATGCCCTTTGTTATCCTGAAAATAACCACCAATACCATCAGACATAATAAAATCAAACAAAATAAAACAAAATAACACCAATCAAAACAAAACAATGAAATTGATATAGGACTTCAAAAGAAGATAATTGGAAATCAACGATAGCTACCAGATTATATCTTGTTATCGTCAAAAAATCTACCCATACTGTAAGACATAATAAAAGAAAGCAAAACAAAACAGACTAAAATCAAACAAAAAAAACAATGCAAACAATACAGGACTTCAAAACCAGTTAATAGGAAATTAACCATGGCTACCACAATGCCTCTTGTCATCTTCAAAATAGCTGTCCAGACCATCAGACATAGGGATATAAAATTAAGCAATCAATACAAAAACTAAGTTGATTCTTTACTTCAGCTCTTATTTTTTCAGAAATTTTAAGTATGTGACTTCTAATTTCTACTATGTCTGTGTCTCTTGAATTTGTTCTGTGTGGGATGAAAGTCTAAGATTATATTTTCTTCTTGACCTTTTCCTCTGTTCCTTCAAATCAGCCCATCATTGCATCCCAAATGCTTCCTGAATTGGCTGCCAGTCCCCTGATGTAGGGCATTAGATTAGGCACCTGGATTCCTCCCTCCAATGCATAGTTCCTGGAGTGGTAGAGGGGTATGGGATGGTGGTTCACTGATGCTCCCCTGATGGTGGTAAGGCCTCAAAGAGTTGCTTATTCTTTGGCCTCCTTGGGCTCATTAGATCTCTCCAGGCCACCATCCCTCCATTCAATTGCATGATCCACTCAGTGATTTCCCTCTGCTGTTGTTTTTGGAACCATGGTCAATTTTACCTCTCTTCAGAATATCCTTTAGCACTTGTTGTGTGTGAAGTGCAGGTGCGTGCCTTTTGCTCCTTCATCTGGACATTTTCCTGGTTTCTTCTAGATAAGCTGATTGTGGGGTCCCAGGTGGTTCCCACATTGGCTTCCTGTCCACAGTGTAAGGGAATTGGCCATACAGCTGGGTTTTGCTTAACCTTGATTCCCAAGGAGACAAGAGGGTACAGGGTGGACTTCTTTAGACATGAGAAACTATACAGAGACTCCCCCAATGACGTGACAAGGGTGTGGCTAGCGGCCTGTCCTGCCCATGCTGGTACAGGGCCCCTGATGGCAGCTGGCCGGCTCCTAAAACATTTTTTTTTCTACACTGGATTTAAAATTGTTTCATTTTTAAGGTTCATATTTTGTTGCGCCATGCACTTATTTTTCTTATTTCCCAATAAGAAACTGAAAGTTAAGTGTGTTTCAGTAGAAATGCTCAAGTAGTAAATTTGTAAATGCATATATACTTTGAAGTGATGTAAGAGGTGCTCTGTTCAGTGAAAAATAATAGAAACAACCTTAAGGAGACAAGCATGTCCAGGAAAAATGCACAATTACATTAATAATTGTAATAATTATAATAATAATTACAATTATTGATGCTGGGTATTTATAGTATAGTATAGAATTAAAATATTTTATTATAAATGAAAGATCATTTACCCTGAATATATACTCAGTAGTGATGTTCCTAAGTCATGTGTTAGTTCTATTTTTAATATTTCAAAGAATTTCCATACTAGTTTCCATAATGGCTATACTAATTAACATTTCTTAGCAATAATTTGCCAGGGTTTTTTTTTTTTCACTACATACTTGCCAACAATCATATTCCTGGAAATATCCCACAAGGAAATTAAATCAGTACGTCAATGAGACATTTGCATTCCCTATTTATTACAGCACTATTCTCAATAACCAGAAAATGGAAACTGCCAGTGCCCAGATAAAGATAATATGTTACATATACAGAAAACAGATAAAAGGAAACGTTGTCCTTTACAAAACCACGAGTAGAATAGGAGATCATTATCCTAGGTAAAATAAACCAAGTACAGAAAGACAAGTATGACATAGTCATTGTCATATGTAGAATCTAAAAATTTGATCTCATAAAATTTAAGAGCAGAATGGTGGTTACTAGAAGTTGCAGAGAGTATGTGAAGAGGGATAGGAAGATATTGACTAAGAACTACTAAGTTACTGTTACGTGGAATCAAAAAGCTCTGGTGTGCTATTATGCAGTCTGGTTATCAGAGATAACAACAATGTACTGCATATTTCAAAAAGAAATAATTTTGAAAATTCTAACATAAATAAATGATAAATGCTTGAAAAATAGGTGTTCAATCAATCATTGTACAATGTGTGCATGCATCAAAATAACACACAATGTTCTCATTAATATGTATACTTTATGCTTTTTAAAAATTATAAATAAAAACAATTTAAGTGGAAAAATAAGTTGAAAGCTCACTAATACTCAATAGCAGGATAGAAGAAGACAAGAAAGAGTGGAAGGGGAAATAAGGGAACCAAGATTTCATATGTATATGGCCTAGTTCTCCAATATGAATGCTTATTGTATATCACAAATATATGTTATACTAATAATAAAGAGGAAAGAGAAAGAGGCTTAATAAAATATTTAATATTTATTTTACTTTAAATATGCTAAATGAGCAAGCATTTTATTGAAATATACTGAATGTTAAACAAGTATTCAGATCTTTTATAGGTATGTAAAATATTCATTTTTGTGGAATTTACTAAAGAAAAAACAAGTCATTTCATTTTGTTAACTTCTGGCTTGTTATATGATTAGTTTTTGTATTCTCATTTTAATTGTTTTGATAAATTACTTCTTAGGAATGAAATCAAATTGTTAGTAATTTGTATAGTCAAATCATCAGATTTCATGTTTTACTTTCATAGGCAATTTTAATCTGGTCACTGGTGAAATTTCATAATCCTGTGTATGCTGACATTCCATACCCTGACTGGGCTGTTATCATAGGGTGGTGTATTATTACTTTTTGTACTATTTGGATTCCAATTGTGGCTGTCATAAAAATAACTCAAGCCAAAGGAACTATCTGTCAAGTAAGCAATTTACATTTTTAAGTAGTTTGTTAAGTACTTTTGATAAAAATGATTAATTTATATATATAGCAGTAATATGAGTTTATATGAAATCAAATTAATCAGTCTTTCTTCTGACTACTTCTATACTAGATATAACCTTCTGTTACCAATGCATAACCTTGTTTTCTTTATGTATGTGTGTGTCTGCCTGTCGTGTGCTATATGCTACTTTTGCAAGGAATCTAGTCTTGCTTGTTGCAGTATTTTCAGGCTCTATTATAGTGCTTACTCTGTAAGTTTTAACTCTTTGTACTGAGTTGTCCTTAAAAATGTCACAAAGCAAATGAGTCATTTGTTTTTTAAGTCTACAATCTCTACTTTTAATGTCTTATCTGATTCTAAGTTCTAATGATGTGTTTAATACAAGTCGTAATGGTGCGTTTAGGTTGAAATGAGCTGTATAAAATATAATTATTCTTCTTCCATGGAGGCCTAGAGAGGTGGAGTTGGTTATGACTTTTTGCCAGAAAAATAACAAGGTAGGTGCAGGAGATTTTATTAAAATACATTCCCAACCTCATCAAAGAATGGATTTAAATTAATGGTTTGGCCCACCTAAGCATGGATTTAAATCAGTGGTCTGATAGTGGATTTCCCTTTCTCTGGTTCTAGAAGCACATCCCACTACATACTACTTTAAATTCTCACCTCAACCTCACCTTAAATGTTTGAGAATGCATGAAGGAACTGTATAGGGACACAGGTACTCTAACGGGCTCATATACCCATTCTTCTGAAATAATTGACATTCATATTTATTATGACATGGTAGTATAATTCTACTGAAAATTAGTAACTATTTAATTACAGTTTTTCTTAGTAGACTATGCCTTGCAAAGAATTTAGACTATCACTTTTTACTTTTCTATGATTCTTAATTTAATGTTTTTAACGAAGAAATTAAAAATTTTTTAAATGACAGAACAATTCTATATTAGCTTGTTTGTACATTATAGAATTTAAATTCTAGGAAAAAAATTTCTTTTTGCATTTCAGCGCATTGTAAGCTGCATTAGACCTGCTTCTAACTGGGGTCCGTACCTGGAACAACATCGTGGGGAAAGATATAAAGACATGGTGGGACCTAATACAATGACTGACCACGAAATACCTACTATTAATGACAATGAAACACTTGAAACACCTGAATGAAATATAATTTTTAAAAAATGTGGTTGTTGTATAATGTGATTTTTTAGAAGAGCAGAAATTTTTATTTATTTGTATATTGAGTAGAAAAATGAAGATACTATATTCACAATATGACAGATGTTTATCCCACTTAAACAGGAATGTAATATATAATGTGAATTTATTAATTTTTAGCAATATTCTTATGTTTTTTAGATTAGTTATCTGTATAATACACACATAACTGTTTCACAATGAAATTTTTAAATATTGCAGTAATGTTTTTTCTAATACATTGAAAATTTTATTAGTAAAGTTTTTTATTATGCAAATTAAAAAATACTATTTGATTCTGTTCTCTTAATGCACACTGCACACTTTCTCAAGCTGAAGGAAAATGAATCAGTTCATGTAAATGTAAGCATTACAAATTTAAGGTTTTAGTTACTTGGAAATAATTATATATATGGAACTAAATAGATGGTGTATGAATGATATAGTTTAATACTTTTGACACAAATATGTCTAAAATCTAATGTGTTGATGACTCATAGTTCTATGTGAGTCATGCTGTTTATTTATAAACATAATAGTTGTGTTCTTTATTTACAAAGACTCAATTCAGAAAGGAAATATATATCCTTTAACAAGATCTAGAAATCAAACACAAATATTTTGAAGTTTTGAATATTTCTTTATATTACTTTCTTTCTTCCTTAGGTTATGTTTTGAAGAATACTATTACACAACTAGTTTCTATTGTGTTTCACAAAATTAAGAGTACTTCTTTAAATTGTATAAATTTTAATTTAAATTTCACACAGGAGACCAATAAAATGTTAAAGAGATAATGGCATCAAGTATTTTATGATGGTTATATTTGAATGATAAAGAAAAGTGATTTTGTCTTATGTAAGTTACTGCTTATGGGTGACAGCTTATTTATATGATAATGGGAAATAAACTTGCCAGACTTGTCAAAAATGAAGGTCTTGTGATCTAGCTTCCTTACAAATGATATTGTAATATATCACTGATAGCTTTGTACTTGATTATCATTGCCATTTGATTCAAATATCACAACCTAGGATGATAAACATTGTGTAAATATATAAGAAACATTTTAGCAATTCATAAAGTTCTTAACTTTATTTCCAAGAATTACAACACTATAATTATATGTAACATTTTATATTTGTATATGTACATACATTTTAGGAGAGAGAGTTTATAGTTTAATTGCAATGCCAATTTGATCTGTAACTCAAAAATATCTGAGAACTATATATAGTGCAGCTGGCTTTTTAGGATTGGCAAGTGAAAATACAAGAGATGATTTTTCTTATATGTTTTAAAATGTTTTTTTCACTTCTTGATTAAACACTAAAAGTAAAAATTCAGGTCTTTTAAAATTTTATTTTGAAAGTAGAATTAATGTACATAAGCATGACATATATATGCATAATATATATATGCATAAGATAAACTCACATTTGAAGATTTTCTTTTAGGGTAGGTCAGATATTGTTAGTGAACTTCAAGAGTGTAATTCCTTAGTTATACTGGATTTTAATAATATTATTTGAAAGATTTGAATGAGATTAATTCCTTAGCTATACTGGATTTTATAAAACATGTTTGAAAGAGATGATTGACTAGAAATCAGAACTGCTTTTTGTAATTTTAGCCTATACTGCAATTACATGCATTCTGTCCCTCTATTTTGGTGCTATTTGGGGTGTCAAGTTTTCCCCAAATAGAAAGGACCATTTTATGTAGGTGACTCTGACATAAGATGTAGACACATTTTAAATGAAAAAGTGTATAGTTGAGAGAGGAGATGTATAATGAAGAAAAAATCCTTTGTAAGAGCTGAGCAAAAAGAGTACTTTGTGTCACTATTTTCGCAGCATGAATAACACAAATCTTTATGAAGTGCTTCACATATTGTAGGCTGCTAAGTGATAGCTCTTGTGTTAACAGATTGAACAATGGCAAGAAACAGTATTCTGCATAATAGCAAAAAAGTTTCATAAAATTCCACTTACTTTAATGCAGACTTGGAGATAACTGTTTTATTATATTTTAAACTATTAGAGAAATTGTCTTTCACTGTAATGCAGACTTGGAGACAATCGAAGTATTATAATGTAAGCTATTAGAGAAATTGTTTTTCAGTTGATTGAAATTATAATCACTATATAAGTATATATTTTACTATAGCTTATTGTAAAAAAAAGACATTTAACCGATTTTCTTTTACATATGGTGTTTCTATCGCTTCCCCAATAAAATATATATTATCAACAGCAGGTAATCAATTATTTAAATGAAATGCAAGAAAGCAAATTAATAAATGTCTGGATTGTGTATATGACTTGGCAGCCCCTACCCTTTTAAATGATTCATTCAATACACACATATTTAACTGAATCATCTCAATTGCCTTTAATGATTGCCTGTATTGGCATTGCATCTTGCAACCTCTTCAATGGATCTCTCAATAATTAAGGAACTTCTGAAACCCTTGATGATTAGGTAATTTTCCAATTCAGCTAGCTTGTATTTCACAATTCTGAGGTTTACCAATATTCGATTTTGTATGGCCACTGAGTGTGGGAAATTATTAAAGATATCTGGAGAAACACTGTCAACTGAAACACTATCAGTACTGCTGCTGAGTGACTGAGTAGAACTACTACTTTCTGGGGAAGAAGATCTACTTGACCAGGGAAAAGTTCTTATTGGATCAGGAGAACTTGAATTTGATGGCGTTTCATCAGTGTCATCCTGTAAAGAAAATTATACAAATGTTAAGTTTAAGAATTTCCAAATCCTATCAAATAACAGCTTGGTTTCAAAAATGGACTGATTTTTCCTACGAATTGGAGATTAAAAATGTGAAACACTATGTGCATTCAGTAGTATGCTCTGCCAAGGCACAAGAATGAGGAAAAAATACATGAATGTAGCCTTGTAGTAGCAAAGTGCTTTATCCTTTGTTTACATGCTTCAGCAGTCCAGTAACTCTACATATAGAACCTGTCTTTGGCCCTTTTTTGAAAGAATTTCACTTGAAAATATAAATTAGACCAGGAAAAATACATTTGTACCTGAAATATTTGTGAACACTGCATCCAGAAAGTTCCCATACCATGGCAGGAGAACCAAACAGAAACATGGGCAAAACAAGTCAAAGGAGAGAGCATTAGAGATTCTTAAAATGGGACATGGTGGTGGGCAATGGGTACTTTTTGCTGTGCTTTTTTTCCCCCCTCCAAATTTGGGGAAAAGCTTTCCGTATCACTTAGTGACTTGGGACTGTTTTACAAGGGACCACAACATTGAAATCTCTGGTGAAAATATGTATTTAAGGGGGAGAGTATAGTAGGTAATGTCTGGGGCTCTTTGAAGAGAGAAATAAAAGGTCATATTTTTATTTTACTATTTTCCCACCATTCCACAAACTCACTCCTCAAATTTGTATTCAGCTAGCTTCATGTACTTTCAGTTTCTCTTACCTTTGTCTGAAAGTGGTTCTTCCAGAAGGAAATTACAAAGGCAATGACTACTCCGCTTACTAGGAACAAAGAGAAGATCATCGTTCCTCTTCAGTCTATTGTTTTTTCTTAGGCCTGAGGTTCTGGGCTCCTAGTTGGGAAATAGGGACGCTCTTGGCCACGCTGAGGGCGAATGGCGCCGTCTAGGGCGCTGGGTGTCGCTCACTTTTTGGTGCAACTGGTATTGTGCGGAGGAGCTGGGCTTCGGGGCTTTATACACAGGAGACTGCATGGACCTCATAATGGCACACTCAAGAATGGGCATTGTGATGCAATTTGTGAAGCAGAAACAGGCTCATGGGATGCCAGGCTGCACTGTGTAACTGCCCACCTCATTACTTATTGCAGCAGATCCTTTGCGAAGAGAGAGACACTGAAGAAATTGGTATTCCCAAGAAGCTGAACTACATGGAAGTACAGACTACAAACAGACTGCTTAGATATATGATTTAAAAAGTACTCCTCACCCTTTTTGATTTTTAAAAATATGGCTGTCTTTGCTACAACCACTCCAAGAACAATTCAAAAACAAGGTGGAAATGCACAGTAAAACAATAGTTACTAAGCATAAGTCCTTATCAGAAACTACCTTCTTCACATTTCTACTTCTGTTTTAGAATTTACTCCGACCTTAGTCACATTGGAGTAGTTATGTATGTTTTTGTTATTTTAAAGTTTAAAAATAATTCAGAGACATGTCTTCATATAATTTTCACAAAAATTGTACCATAGGTATATTTAATACTGAATCTGTTTTTACTGAAAGAAATTCAGGTACTAAACTCAGTTGAGTAACTAGTAAGCAAAAAACAGGAATTTAATAGTGGAGTTTGAGTCCTGAGATAAACTCTTCCATTCTGTCCCTTTCATTCACTTCCTAGTGACCTCTACTCTGATTGGTGAGCATCGAGTATTTAATAGCTGGTTAATCAATACTTCTAAAATTATGATTGTCTTTATATGTAAATTTTTTATTTAATAAAATTGAGTGAAGCCAAGTTATTTTCAATAATAAAATTTTAAATTTTGAAAGAAATAAACTTCTTCCTCTTTTAAGGCTAAGAATATCACTATGTATTGTGTTTTGCATATATATTCATCTATTATGAACAGTTGGTTTGCTGGCATGTTTTAGGGATTGTAAATAATTATTCTTTCAATGTTGAGGTACAAATGTCAATCCTGCTTCTAGGTTTTAGTTGATGTTGAGTAGAAGTAGCTTTTATATATTCTGAATATCATTAATTGCTTATTAGATACTTAATTTGCAAATGTTTTCTCCCAGTATGTGAGTTGCCTTTTCAGCTATTTTTAGGTTCCTTTAATACATAAGATTTTTTAAAAATCAATTCTAACTTTTCATTTTTGGTCTCTTATATTTTTGGTGTCATACCCAAGAAAGCATTGTCAATTTCAAAGGCTTCAATGCTTTTCCTACAAGCTTTCTTCTGAGAGTTTTGCAACTTCACTCTTACTTTTAGTTGTGGATGTCCAGGTATTTCAGCCCCATCAGTATAAAAACCTGTATAATTTCTTCATTTTATTAACTTTGCTTTTTAAATATCAGTCAATTATATTTACATGCATGTGGGTCTATTTCTTGGCTCTATAGTCTGCTTCACTGATCTATCTTTTTTTTAGTCAATGCTACCATATTTTGAATACTGGGGTTTTATACTATATTTTGGAAGTTGGAAAAAATCATTACTTTACATCTGTTTTAGACACTGAATATACTGTTCATTATTCTGGGCTTTTTGTCTTTCTGTAAAGTTTTAGAATAAGTTTGTTGATTTTAAATCAATATAGATTGTTGAAATTTTTGTTAAGATTCCTTTGCATATATAATTCAGTCTGGAAGAAGCTGACACTCTTGAAATAAAGAGTTTTCCTATACATGACTTTGAGATACCTCTCCATCATTTTTTTTCTTTTCTGTCATCATAGTTTTAGAATTTACTTTATTTAGGTCTTGTACATTTTAAAAGATTTGCACCTAAATATTTCAATTTGGTCTAATATAAATGTTACTGTATTTTAAATTTGAAATTTTACTTGTTTATTGCTGCTATTATAGGGAGTAATTGGCTTCTGTATATTAACTCTTAAATCTTACAATCTGACTGTGGTAACATAATCATTTCCAGAAGGACTTTTTCTGGTTATTATTGATTCTTTTGTATTTTTGACACAGTTATTAATGTTATCCATGAACAAAAATAGTTTCGGTTCTTTCTTCCTAATGCATGTACCTCTTATTTCGTTTTCTTGTCTTATTGTGCTGTCTGGGATTTCCAGTAAAATGTTGAGACTAGTGGTAAGAAGTGATCTCATTACCTTGTTTTTGATTTTAGTAGTCAAGTTTCTAACATTGTCTTTTTAAGTATGATGTTAACTGTAGGGTTTTTGGGTCAGTATTCTTTGAAAAGAGAAGACATTTCCCTCTAATGTTAGTTTATTGAAAGATTTTACTGTGTATGTATTTTTTCAATTCTTTTGTATCTGCTGACATGACTAAATGATATTTCTTTAGTACGTTGATGAGATTATATTGACTTATTTTTACTTTGCCTAGTTTTTTCTAGAGGTAAGTCTTGCTAAGAAAGCCAGATTGTCTTAGTATATTTCCAATTGGTATAATTCCTCTTCCTTTTGGGGATATAAGTGGTTTATTTCTAATATTTACTATGACAACCTGATAGAGCTCCAGGTCGTAAAATTCATTAACTTTGTAAACTTTCCATATGACTGGGTCTGCTTGGAGCATTGAACACTGAGATTTATCTACAGTGAGATTCCAGCAATTCTGCACTTAATTTATGTTTTCCTGAACTAGCATTGGTTCTTGAGGAGGTTGTTGCCTCTGGATTTCTGAATTGTATCTTGTGATTCTCTGTGTTCATAAATCGGTCTCCTTAATATTGATCATTGATTTTGATGACTCAGTTTCTGTTATATCTAGGACACCTTTATTTTTACAGTTCAGCTTTTTGTCTGTTTAAATATAGTATGGTGATTTCCGTAACTTCTTTTTTTTTTTTTTTACACTTTTTTTTTATTTAAAGAAAAGGAAACAAAAAATATGTGGAAATAAAAAAGGGTAGAAATGATACAAAATTACAGAAAAACAAACGGTAAGACATTGCTGGTTGATAAGTTACATATTGTCATCTAAGAAATAGCTGCTCAGGTTACAAAATTAAAGTATTTAGAATGACATTCAAAAAGTGACACTACAAACAGTTCTGCTCAATGATCGAACAAAAACTCAGTTATATCGTTGTCAGTCCTACACACTTGTTTTACATCTCAAAGAAGTTAAGATTAAACATATCAAAACAGAACAAAACAGTTAAAAAACAATTTAAAGAAATACAGGTTTCAAAGCAAGTCCACTGGAGATCTTCACTGTCTATCTAACTGTCTCTAGTTTCTTACAAATAGTTGCCCCCATCTTCACCCACTTTATATACTTATTGCATATTATAGAACTAATCAAATCATTACAGGATGATGAAGGTTATTTAGGTCTTCAAGACCCAACATTAGGGAATGCAATAATAACTACCATCGCCTCATCTCTCATTCTCTTTGTGGTAGCCGTCCCCATCTCTACATAAGCTGAAATTGAACTCAAGAGACCAGACCAATGTCATTCTAATCAGCAAACAATAGTATTGCTAGAATTTATATCATAATGCTATAAAATTAGCATTGGGTTTCTTAGCGTCTCTTCTTCTAGAGTATCTATTCATTACATCTTGCATTATATAATATGTTCCCGTAAATAATTAAAAAAAAAACTCATGTGTGAATTTCTTCTTATATATCTATCCTCTCTGTATTATAGAGAAAACCAAGTCATAACAAGACAGCAAAACAAATTCCTAGAAAAACATGCAATGGATAAGACATATAAGAACACAATATAGGTGATCTTCCGTAGTTACTATGTTTTCTCTTGTTATTTTCAATAGATTTGTCCACAACACTGGCTTAATATAATTAAACATAGTATTACCTATTTTTATAAAAACACAACTTTGAAAGCATTGTAGTATTTGAGAGCTGTTAATAGTTAATACCAGTATGGATATCCTTTACATCTTGTCATCTTCAGAGTAGTTGCCTCTACTTTTAGGGTTGATACTAAATAGCATACTAAATTCAAATAAAATCAGCCAAGGCCAACCCATGGTCTTCTGATTCAGATTCAATTAAGATCAGTCATAGTAAGACAATGTAAGTAATACAGGATTTCAGTTTAAGTTAATAGGAAAGTAAAGATAGTTACCATGGTATAACCTGTTATTTTTGGGTCAGATGTCTGTGCCCTCAAATCTGACATGAGTGGACAGACCAAAACAAATTAAATTCAAATTAAATATGGCGATAAGACTACTGTGTCTTTTAAATCCTGATATACTATTAACAATGACCTCTGCCTTTTTTTATAGTGTTTCAGAGATGTCTATAATAAAGACTATAGCTTACCATCTCTGCCTCATGTCTGCTACTCCACTTTTCTGCTATAATTTGTCCACCTTATTCCCTCATTCCACTGTCTGCCCTGTTCATTGAGGGCTCTCTGCCACTGTTGCTGGAATCCTGGTATCCCTTCCTCTCTTTCTCTGTAATGTCCTTCAGCACTCTCTGTAGGGTTGGATTGGTGGCCATGAACTCCCACAGTTCCTCCTTGTCTTGGAAGCATCTTATTTCTCCATTAATTTTGAGAGAGAGTTTTGATGGATATATGAGCCTTGGTTGCATATTATTTTTTTCAGGATTTGAAATATTTCTCCCCATTCCCTTCTTGACTTAAGAGTTTGTGTTGATAAGTGTTGTTATTTTGATAATTTTCCCGTTGTAGGTTATCTGCTTCTTTTCTCTGGCTGCTTTTAATATTCTGTTCTTTTGGTAGATTTATGGAATCTTGATTTTTATATGTCTAGGCGTAGATCTGTTTTGGTTGAAGGTAGCTGGTGTTCTGTATGCCTCTTTTATCTGGATATCATTTCTTTTTGCTATACATGGGAAATTTT